GCCAATGACTTTTCGCTGTCAAACTTGTGGGAGAAGCGCATACATTTTAAAGGCTCTAGAAAAACCCTGGTAAGTAAAGCATTTAAAAAGATTTAAATCTCTAAGAAAAACCTAAATTAAGAGAAAAATCCTGGAATAGAAGGCCTCCAAACTAAGGATGGTTCTCTGCGCAGCTCTGCAGCCATAGTCTTCTTGGGTTCATTTCTTTTTTTTTTTTTACCAACTCCTCCCTCTTTTATTCCGAGTCTTAAGAGTAATCATTCAGATGTCTCTATGGTCTCAGGGCTTTGTCCTTTTCCTACAGATATCATGATTCTTGATGGGAATGTCTAAGCAAATGAATTCGTGTGATAAATTATTATTTTAAAATTTCGCAAAAAGTTTCCAATAAAATGATGACCAATTCGTGTGCTTTACAGATAAAATACCATAATGCAGTCAGATATGGGACATTATGAACTTTTCGTCTCATTTCACTTTTATGATTTGTCGCAGGGACCTTTGCTCACGCGGCTCGAGCTTGCCTCCTGCGCCTGGCACCCTAAATGGCTTTTCTCCGTGCGTCTTCAAAGAAGGCCCTTATATGCACGATGACCTCGATGTCGTTCCCTTCGTGGAGGGGGTTTGGCTTTTCACACTGCGAGGGATTGTTGCATCTCCCGGTGCCACCCCCGGAGTCCTCGGAAGTTCTTGGGTTCAGCGTGAGTCCCTCGAATTTCATCCAATCACACGGTTCCGCGATGAGTCTTCACTTGAGGCTTTAGCCAATAGAATTTCCAAACTAGATCGGTCGCTGGAGTCGTCCCTTATACCCTGCCCTTCTCCCCTTTTCAATACCTAGAGGGGAAAAAAAGAAACAGCAACAGAAGTGGAACACCAGATTGTTCCATATTGTAAAGAATTTCAGTGAAGGTAGTCTGAAGGCCTTGATACAGAAATTTTCAGCACTGGTGCCAATTGCTAGTGTATACTGAAGAGAATTGCGAAAGAGGAAATTCCTAGGAATCGAATCCTTGCGAATATACTGTATTACGAATGAATCAGGAGAAAATACCAAGAATTGCTGGCCAGCTTTCGGGGGGGATATCGAGGAAAGTACGACAGGGGATCATATTCCATGTTCCAATCACTCATCGTTCCTTCAATGAAAAAGAAAAATCTGCTATCCTTGGCAGTCTGGATTACTTGTTTTTCTTTCTCCTGTCCCCTCTCCCTAATGAAAAGATGAACTCCTCAGGGGCTAAGGTTCAACCTCTTCATTTCCCAACTGAAATCATTCTCTTTCGCAAGCAGAATCGAGTCGGGAATCTTAGTGGTAGAGCAACGATTTTACATAAGCTCATGAGCGGAATGTTTTGAACATTTATTTGAACACCCTTAAAAACTGTTAACCATGCTGACACGCTTTAACTGGGAATTTTCATCCGTTCAGCTCGACCTCCAAAATTCGAAGGAGGCAAACGAGGCATCGCAGAATGACATCTCTTCGCTTCGATCGCGATTAGACGAAGCGAACGCGGAGAAGCAGGCAGCGGAAGGCCTGGTTCGAGTCTTTTTGAGCGCTCAGTTAAGATGTCGTTTCATCAACAATATACTTTTCTTCATGACGTTTATGAATGACATCAACAAACAGGGTTCGCGCAACCGAAGCGTGATGACGCCTAAATCACCGCTATAGCGTATCAATATCGAATACAGCAGGAATGGAACAGTCCCCAGAACTTGAATGCTTCAAAACATTCGTCTAAAGCAGGGTGTTACACCCCAAATCCAGGGTCGTGACCCATGTTTGGGTTGCAACCCAGGGTTTGGATGTTGAATTTTGAGTCGTGACCTGGTCTAAAGAGTTAATCCAGTCCAAGGAGTCTCCATGTAACTCTGACTCGAAGGAATGAAGGGAAGATTGTTCAATTTCCAAACGGACCACAATAGGAAGTTGTGCCTCCATGAGAAATGTTCTGTGATCTCTTCGACTATGATCATCGCTTTTGAGGAAAAATTTTTCGCTCAAGAGTAGAAGGATCTGCATGTGATGGAAGTTACTATGCATTGAGTCTATGCAGACACGTAACTCTGGACCAAGAGAGGAGCTACTGAGCTGATTATATTGATATTAGAACTGATATTTGAAAGAGTTCTAGCTCTGTGCTGGCTCCAATCCCGTCCTAGTGTTGGCGGATATCGTGCTGGAGTTATGTCGGATACATGACTGCTTCGGCCTACGTATTGTGTCTGGACCTCCTGTTTTTTTTATTTATTTAAATAATGAATAAGACATTTCTGTGCTAATTTCATGGAATGAGCTGAAATTAAAACGGTGGTTAGCAGTGGCCGATCGATGTGATGGGATATGGAGATATCGTGCACGGCCATCCCAGAATTAACAGGATGACGCCTAACATGCATTTCAGTCGATTTCATTCCTGGAGGCATTCTTTCCGCAGAATTAGTTGCTGATGGTTCGAGAAACTCCAGATAGGACTAACTCTACACGTTCAAAACAGGCTGATCATCGGTCTATGCAGTGGATGTGTAACAATATTACACGTCCTCTGAAGTGGTTCGTGAAAGTCGGAATAGCCATGCAATGGGTTTAACGTTATACGTCCTCACCGAGTTGTCTCGAAGACCCTAGGATTGAGCCTTATGGGTCTAATTGGTCCCGAAAATCGAGGGTTGAGATTCTTTTGAACGAAGAAAGGTAGGCCTAATGTTAGTGAACCCCATAGAAAGAGGGGGGAGGGGTGGTTAAAGATAGGGGAATGCCTTTTAAAAATGGATTTCACATGAATCATAAGGTCTTTGGGCAAGGCGATCTCGTCGGCAAGAGGTCTCGCGAGGCGAAGGTGAGACGACGATGAGAGACACCTGCCGAAAGGCGAGTTCACTAAAAGGGACATCTAGCAGAAGACGAGTGAAGGTATGGAAGGGACGAGGAACCGCTGCCTCTGTAAAGCGGACGCTTCCCCCAACGGACGTTCATCTTTCCTTTTCCGGAGGCCAACATTTTTTAGAGTTGGACGCGACAAGCCGATAGTCGAGTGGCTCGACCAACGGTCTCAGATACCTATATTTAAAACCCAAGAGAAGTTACTCTGGAAGGGAAAAACGCTTACGGTACTCGTAAAAATCTCGAGAACCCGAAGGACTCTGAGTGGTACTCGTGAGCAATCGTGAGAACCTCCAAGTGGTACTTATGAATACTCCAGTGATATGAGAACCTCCATGTGGTACTTGCTGGTACTGTTTCTACGCCCGAACCAGACACATGCTCCTCGAAGGAAAGACATCGACACGACAACGACGTGCACCGTCGACACAAAAGCGTCGTGATGGACTCTGAATGCGACGTCGTTAGCGCAGTGGAATCAGCTAATTTCGAACGAGGAAAGTTCGAGCGGCAGAATGCCCCCTCTCGTCGCAAGGGAATGGCGTCTCGAGAAGCCGTTCTTATTTTCTTTGGCATTGTTTCCTGCTGTTGAACAACCTGCTTCAGGGGTTGCGGATTCTTCCGCGAACAAATATATTGGGTCCTTCCGTCAAAAACGACGGGAATCACTGTTATAGACTCTGTTCTACACCTTTCGGAATGCCCCGGAAGAAAAATCTAAGAACAGCACGCTAAGTATACGTCTGAGCATCGCCTTGAATTTCTCTCCTTTAGGAAATGCATATCCAGTACAATAGTTGGGCTAGTGCAAGTTTCGTTCAGAATTGATACATGGTCAGGTCAGAATCATCGGTCAAGGGTTTTATTTGATTTTTATTTTCTCTTTAGGAGTCTACGACTTCTTGTCGCAATTCATCTCGTTAAACATTTGTAGTAATTCGTCTGAATAAAATGTGTCTTACGGCATGACAACGAATCTCACGAATGATCCTAATCGAATGGCAGGCATGTTCTTTTGGACCGAACAAGTTTGGACTTCTGGAAGTCCAAACTTGTTTCTCGATGAAAGAAAGAGACTCGATGGTCCATGCTCTCGGCCCTGTCTCCAAGCATCGCCTGCGCGAGGAGAACCGGAACTCGCAGACCCCTCAGCAAGGAGAGGCTTCGTAAATCCTGGATTTCTCGCGGCGTTTCGTATGATTTATGGCAATTTATCATCCGAAAACTTCGGGATGGCCACATGTATCTAATACCATTGCGTATATCCGTTTTCAACCCTTCTCGGCATAGGGAGACGACACCGACGTGGCAGGACACCCATTACTGCAGACAGGGGAGACAAGGAAACATCGTTGCTAACTGCACTCTCGGCTCCATTAAAGGATTGGATCTCCAAGGATTCTATTCAACTTTCCATTCACAAGTGTCCTGCCTGGGGTGGGGGATAAATTCAATACGAAACAGATTTATGGCTAGTATACCATTCCAATAGCAAGAAAAAAAAAATGAGCGGTGGAAAGGTAGCGGACAGGGCGATCTCTTTCATCTTTTTTCGATGGTCCAATCGGAACTATTACACGAGGAGTCATGTATTATGTCGTAAATGGAAGGGGATCCAAGAGATCTTACAACCATAGGGAAATCATCTTGATCGGTGCGCAGAATTTCGAGAAACGAACGAGTAAGAGGGCAATATTCACTCAAGTGAGCGGAAAGCGCTAAGTTCTTCTTGGAATGGTTTATTTGTATTACCGATTCGATCGTTCGTGTGGTGTTCATGTAATAAACAGGAATAACCTTTTCTTATCCGAGGAAACGAAGTCAGTTCTGCAAGTGCTGCTTCTTCCATGAATGTCCTTGCATACCAGGAACAAAGGAGTGGTTGCTTCATTATTTGGCCAGGATGGCCCAGGAGTATTTAGCTGTAAAAGCTGGGTTCATTACTTGCCAAGAGTTCGCCGATTGTATTGTTCGAACAGATACAGAATATCTTCTAAGAATTAAAAAGAAATACACCATGTAGATGCTAACCTGAAAGCTTCCTCACAGTCCACGCCGACAGTATTCCAACAGAAATCTTTCTTTACAGTATAGAACAGAATAGCACTAATTAGCCTGCTGCTAAACTAAAAAAAAAAAAACGAACTCAAGTTAAACCAAAGAAGAAAACTAGAAATGTTTCTGAAATGGAACTGAACTGAACCTAAATATTCAGGGTTTGTTCAATCTCATCTGAAACACCTATGGATGAACTGTTACCCTCAAGAGTCAATGGTGAATGGGAAAAGATCACCCTTCTACAAGACATAAAATAAATGGTTGATGTTCTCAAGCAAAATATGCAGTTCTATAATGGGTGTATGTTGCATCTGAAGTGGGATCACACATGTCCAACATGGATGAAGCCTAATCTGTGGAAGTTCTAACAAAGAAAATCCAAATGTGATTGACAATGTTCTTAATTATTTGGCCTTCGCAAGACTCATCAGGGAAAAGATCATCACTGGAAATAATGAATTACAAAATGACTGATGGATCAAGAAAGAACCAGAAAGTGGATGGATCACAGGGTTCACTTGACAAGCTTGTATGTGCGCTTGCACACGACATTGTCTGCTGTCAGCGTCTAAAAAGGGGAAAGAAGAAAACTCTTCAGGTCTTCTACATGACCATACAATTCCTCCAAGTCTTTTGCTATGATTCAGTATAAAATCAGTTACATCCCATGATCATAAAGAGCCTTCTCAATGTTCCAGCTATTGAAATCTTATCCAAAACTTTAATTAGGAATATGGTTCAGTTACCTTGGATGGCTCTGATATGCAAGGCTTTGTGTTTTCCAGGCTTCATGTTTAACACTGCTTAATTGCTTACTAATTCAAGCCCTTTAGGCTCATTAGCATAAAGCATATTTACAGTGATTTTCAGGATTATTCACTGAATAAATTGATTTGAAACTTCAGCCAATTTCTGATACTTCATTTGATGCAGCCAATATGAATTCTGATGAGGTGATACCTCATCTGGTCCACCTAATGCAAAGTTTTTTTCTGATTATGCCAAGTATTTTCCAACTATTCAGATTATCAAAAATCCAATCTTGTAGCTTTATCTTGACTACAAATGCAAAGCCATCAGCTTTTCATGGGAAAGTGAAATTAAAAAAAATTTACTCAATCACATGATTTTTAATTTTTAAAAATCACAACCAAACAAAATCAAGGTAACACTACTGAATTTTGCAAAGTCATGTGACAAAAAGATTATGGGAAAATAAACATTGCTCTTCAATGTATAATCAAAGGCTCACAGGAAGCACAGCCTAGGCTTATTCTTGCCTAATGAGGTATAATACAAATTCTGCAGATCTCAGCATCCTCATTCACTCAGTCATGCCATAACTTCAGACATTGGGTTACTGTTTGAAGTGTGGCCAAACAAGCCTGGCCTGTATTATGCACCATGCACACTTCATTCTCCTCTCTTTATCCTTGCATTATTGTCCCCAGTGGAGCCACATTCCTGCTAGTACTAGTGGGAGCTTGGAGTTCCATTTTCCTACCCAAGGCCAGATTGGGATCCCACCCCCAAATCACTTAGAAGTGCTAAATTGTAAATAAATCCTGGAGTAGGATAATTTTTTTAAATAAAGTAGGACAGTCATGATGTGACCAAGGAAACCATTTTAACACATAGGATGGTGTTGCATGCACAGTCTATGGTTAGAGATATAGCAGTGAAATGCTGACTCACTCCCACCATATCAGAATGCTTATAAATCAGCGTTAATGTTAGGCATTCTACTTCTAGATATGTGCCCTCTCCCACAGTGATGATGCAAGTATAAAGGGAGGGGATTTGCACACAGGCCCAGGGCCTGATATGTTTCCACCTTCTACTTTGCTTCCTAATTACTCTGACAGTTTACCATTATTTCAGCTATCAGGTGCTGATTTCTAAGGCCAATAAGCAATTATCAACAAATAGCAACAAATAGATTCCATCTGTCTCATCCTCATTTCAAACTTAACAAAAAGAGATTAAATTAAGTGAGGATAAAGATTGGGCTCTGGATGTCTGCCTGTCAAAGAGGGGGATTTGGCAGTCCTCCTGGAATGCATACCATAGTCAAAGTGTCTCCATTGACTTCCCGTACAAGCACTGAATCCTTTCCACCATTAACTCCCTTTTGATCCTGGGTAAGCTTGTTCTTCTCCAATGTCATTTTGGTCTGGAGAGAGTCATAGGATTTGATTAATATGTGGAAAATGGCAATGAGAAACATCAATGGGAGCCACCTACCATGACCTTTCGTCCATCAGCAGTAGTCTCTTCAAACTCCTCACCAAGCCTGAACTCAATATTGGTTGTCTTGAAGGTGGTGGTAGTGATGATGGTCCATTTCCCATTCTCCACTTTGATGTCCTGCACTGGCTTGGCTGTGCTTCCCAGTTTCCTCATCACCATGCCAACCCCTACACATGGCAATGCAAAGGTCAAGATTCACATGTACTCAAACACCATAACTGATAACCAAATTAGTGTGATGACAGTCTGAAGGTCAAGGTTAACATACAAGATAAGAGTTTTGTAGAGCTTCAGCTACAGTCTTTTTCAAGAACAAAATCCTTTCACAATGGAAAAGGTTAAAGTAATTTCTTTTGGATTAGTAGTACACATTCAAAGTCCCCCTTGCTCCCCATTTTGTTGTGTACTTACACATCACACTTTTGGATCGTACTTTTGGTTCACACAATATGCTAGACAAAACATGACTCATTCATGACCTTGACAGTGGTATTGCTCTTATAAGACTCATGATACAGTCCATGCGAAAGTCAGATAAACCTAAAAAAACAGATGGACAAATGGCAGACAACATTGGTTAAGACATTACTGGGTATTTAATGAGAGTTCTCAGATTACAAAAAAAAAACATATGTTATGATGGATGTACTAAAGCCAGAATGGTGATGTTTGGTTAGGCTTGAGTTCCTTGTATCAGTAGTGCAGATGCCTTTCCTGAGAGAGGCATCTGTACACACTCATGCTGTCATTCAAGATGCTGGCCACTCAAAACATGATGCTGCAAAGCCCCAACCCCTCTACCAGCTCATTACAATCAGGGGGACAGGCATTGGCTGGTAGGCCCCATCTCCAAGCATGTGCTGAGTGCTCAACAGAAGCAGTTAATCTTATCAGTGCTTATACAGGCATTGGTCTGAGTGCAAAGCTCTTAGTCCTTGCTTCTATGTACTCTGTTTTCTCTTCTTGTTAGTTCAGAAGTCCACAATACTTGAGACTGGAGTGCTTTCAGTCAGATAGCAGAGGAGTCACCACTTCCTCTTGTCAGCAGATTGAATGATAAAACAAGTAACCAAAATACCTGAAATGGATTGCAGAATTTGGGCTACAAGATTTGCCTAAATCCTTGTCTGGGTCTGGAATCACCCAGGGCTTCCATATGCTCCAAAATTCTTGCTTCTTTCAAGCTTCCTTTCCCCCAACATCCCTGTATTACCTGTCATTCTGAAATCTAAACTTTTGCATTGAAAAGGCCTATACTAAATAAATTTTTTGGATAGGCCTAGGTCAACTATTACAAGGTACTACAATGCACCTACATAGGGTTTTCATTCATTTCATTTCGATTGCTGATTGTGACATCCTTCACGAGTGGTTTCGTGAAATATCTGACTGAGCAGATCCTCTGAAAGTAGTGTTTTCTCTTACTTACCAGGGTAAGACACGAACTCAATCCGAAAATATTCTGATCACTACAATGGCTACTACCTTTCCTTCAAGGAATTCGATCTAGTGAAATTTCTAAGGGAAAGTTGGAGCAGCTATAAAGCGGGTAGTAACTCCCAATAATCACAGCCTCAGTTGTTGAATATAACAACCATTTTCCATTTTTGGTTTTTATATTTTTCTTCGATCGATTTTATTGACATTTTTATTATTTTCATCTTCATAATACAAGGACAAATGTCCACGTAAGCGTAGGATGAACGTGGCCAAAGATGGATGCACGCCTCTGCTGCCTAGATAGCGGCAAGCCGGAGGATCCATGCTTCATGGCACATGGCTCCATTGGTATCACGCCACCTGACAGCAGGGATGCCGCATGGAGCACTTGCTTTCGCTGACGTCGGCGCATTCCTCCCACTCTTTTAGCCTCGTTATAGACCGCGCGTAAGGCGTTGTTCAAACCGTAAATGTCGAAGCTTTGGAAAACGGCTCAGTTTCAGCTATCGCATGACGACCAAAAATTTCTGCTACACGTACACGCCTAATAGGACCGAGATTTATAGCAGCTTGGGTCTGCACCACAAGCTCCTCGTTTCCATCGCTCTTTCCAAATAAAAAAAAAAGTTTTGATTTTATCCCTGAAACAAGTCTAGTGAGGTTTACACTGCAATAATGCCTTTTATTTTTATCTCTCGAACCATTCCTCTTCAACGTGGTAAAAATAAAACTCGGCTTATCGGTTAGTTATCGTGCTAAGCGGGGGGTAATACGAGAGCTGAGCCCCCCTGAGTTCGAGAGGGCAGAAAACGCGTCCGTTTACTTGCCCTTCCCCCAGTCCGACAATGGAATGGGAAACCAAAAGCCAGACAAATATGCCAAGCCTGTTCCCAGTGTCCCCTCCTCTTCCAATACCTCCCCCCGAGTTCACGTGAATGGACAACCCTAGAAGTATTTTTCTGTTGGGAACTCGTTCCCGGCGCTACTAACGTCCGATGTGTCCTTGAGATACATACCTTCTTTTTGGTCCCGTGGTTGACTCTGTCCCCGGCCTACCACTGATTCCACTGTCATACCAAACCGGTGGGGGGGAACAATGGGTAGCACCAACGCAAAGAAATCATTCTAAAATACACTTTTGCTTTCGGTTTGCAAGGGCGCCACAAAGTCTACTACGTGAGCAGAGAGGCGGTTAACGAGGTATAAAATATTAAAGAAGTGCTGGAGGAAAACCAGCGGCGAAGCATCGAGGGACTAGAGGGGGCACGTGACACACCCATTAAAAAATAAGACCAGGAGGAAAGGGCACATGAAATGAAACCCCCCCCCCTCTCTCCTCTCCTCTCCACTTCTCCCATCTTAAGCTTATGAAAAAGTTCCTAAAAGGTTTTTGACGTCGGTGAAACTGATACTAACCTAACCGCCGTTTTATAAGTTTTCAGGAGACATTACAGCAATAGTAACCTTAAAATGAAGATGTAAAAANGGGGCCTCTCGCCTTGCCACGGAACAGTCTGCGCCGTGCGGTAGTGCGCCTATCAGGCGATCCTTTGACATCGACGAAGCGTCAAGAGAAAGAGCGCGGGCTGACGCAGTTTCCAGTGTTGCTGAGAAGCCTTCTTATCGTTTCGGCTTTGGAGGTTCTTCAAGCATTCCAAAGTCTACGAGGAAATCCGATCTATAGGCCTATGCATTTTAAAAAAAGAGAGAGAAATCGTTTTTCTATCTTAGGAAGGAAAGAGGGAAAATCCTCGTGACCATTCTCTTATAAGCGAGGAAACATGGTATGTGGTTCATTCAAAAATCCAAAAACAGGTATGGTGCTAATGCGGAAATGGCATCGATTCATATTATTATTTAAAGTTTTATGAACTATACGTAGATGGACCAGTTCTCCACGTACAGGAAGGTATTGAACGAGAAGGGACTTATGTAATGTACAGTATGTAGAATGGATTTACGAGCCCTAGACCAGTTTTTCGTTTCCTGGAATTTTTTTTGCGCACGAACAACTTTCCCTGCAGGCCTTCATTTCTTTTCTTTCCTCCTTTCGCACGTTGAAGAGCTCTGAAAGTAACTATGGCGGTGATGAAAGCCCTTACCATGACAAGCCTTCCTTCTCGAATGGTTTTTCACTCGAAGGAGTTTGAACGCGTCAGAACAATGACGGGGAAGATTCCCCTCGTTTTGCATTCGTATTCGTTGACCCTGCGGTATTGAATAAACCGTTTCGCCAGCCCAGGCTGTCTCTTCCCCCCGTACACCAGGGTTGCCAGATTCTTTTTGCCATATGCCTCGCGTATGACACAAGCGAATGTGCCTAGGCCTATTTGGAAAATAAAAAAGGAATGGGAACAGATGCTGAGAACCGACAGCCTTCGAGTAATTCGTCGAAGTCTTCTCTCTCGGTCATCTGTCATTTGCCAAAGAATCCTTTTGTCCGACGGAAGTGGCTACGACTCTCGTTACTCCTTTGTTCTTCCACTCCCTCTCGGTCGCCTGCGCCCCCCTTCCCCTCCCGTGCATCGAATTAAATTATCTGCTTTCTAAATTTAATTTTGCTCACACGTAGCGGTGGGACGTAGCGTGTTTGTTCGGACCCTCGAATCCCCTCTTTCCTCCCCCTTTTCCTCTGACGACCAAAAAAGTATTTGCACATATCTGCTATGCATGGTTCATGCAACCGCGCATTGCGTAAATTTTTTGCCGAATTCGTGTAAAAAAAAAAAAAACTCCTGTGCTTGAGTATTTCATGAAATCAGCAAAAATGTGCTCAAGTAAATATTCCACTTTCGAGGGGCCACAAATTTTTATCTTGGCCAGACCAGCAAATACGATCCGCTTTTCACGGATTTTCACTGAAAATCGGGTCGTGTGCGGGTGAATCTGACGCTTCATCCGATGTTGCACATCGAGGGGGGTAGGGGGGGAGGGGAGGGGAGGGGAGGGGGCCGATGAAAACGTGCCACGTCACGGAGAAGCGGCTTCCTCACGAGCATGCCGATCGCAAAACGCCATGACTTAGCGAGACAAAATTCTTCCACGTTTTCGATGAAGTAAACAATGGCTGCCGCTCGTGCAACGAGTAGCGTTTTATCGCCTATTGCAAGCACTTGGCAACAACAATGCTCATTTCATGGAATGAACACAATGATTGCTCATCTTGGGAAATAGGTCGAAACGTTGCGCAATGAGCAGTCGCGCGAATCGCTCGTAACATACACAAAAATACAAATACAAATAAATATAATTATATTATACGGAATACAAACATGAAAATATGAAAGGGACCTGCAGAACGCGCCAGTTTCTGGTATTATTTCCCACGAAACACGTTTTCATGGATGTCGGCATCAAAAGTATCCGAAGCAAGGAGCTGAAATTAAGAGCACCGGTGTTTTGTATCCGAGTCGCGCCAAGTTGCCTCGAGTCTCGAGTTGATGCGGCAAGACACAGATGTCGCTCATGTCCAGTTCTTCCATTCGCGTGGCCCTGCTCGACTCAGAAAAGTCTAATTCCAAAGCCCTTGCTCTCCTCTATAGGAATTTTTTTTTTTTTTTTTACATTCGATTAAAGGTTGACATTTGGCAGTGAAACACGAATGAAGCTGCAGACTCAGAAGACGTTCTTCATGACTAAAAAGAAGCCGAAAATCTCAACTCTCCGTTTGAGATTTAAAAAATATTCAGGAATGATTCTTCTCGAGTTAAACGTGTCAGCTCGATGATGAACCCTGAAATCACCGAAAGGCATCACGTCGGGGGTTCTAACTACGAGCGTCCTTAAGGCCGAGGTGATTGCACTCTTCAGACATAGTCGCCCCCCAAAAAACTAGAATCGTCCTTTCATTCGAATTAATGAAAAACGAAAATTCTTTAGCTCCAGATGTCTCCATTCCGAATCGTCGGTCTTTCTGTTTTGTTTTCTGTTTCCCTTTCTTTCCTACTTCTTGAGGGATTCCTTCGTTTTCCGGTCGCCGCCGACTCGCGCTTCAGACCCAAGTCACGATCGTCTGAAACCGGAACATCCCCAAGGTGGTCTCAAGGTGGTCTCAAGGTGGTGCCAAGGTGGTCCCAAGATCGAGCCGATTCGGCCTCCACGCCGGGGGAACGTGCAAGGAGCGGTGAGTTCACCGAGCCGGGGATTGAGGGGATGATCCAGAGGATAATGCAGGGACGATCCAGACTGCGAGGCGAACGCAGATCCTTGGGGTCGAGAAATTCTTGGCGATATCTGTTTCCTCCCGGCTCATTTCTACCGCCTCCACGACTCGACCTGCGACTTGCCGTCGCCTCGATCGCTTCGCTCGTCCGTTTTCCTGCCGTATTTTCCTTCGCACTTTTGGGTTCTCCGTTTCCGATATTCCTTACTTTAATTTTCCTCGATGCGTTCGTGTAATACATATGCTCGAGCTTCTGAATGGCATCGACACAAATCATATTCATAAGACGCAGCGAAAACGATTAAAGTTTAGAAGCGGTAGCAGCCGTTGAGCCTCACCTGCACCTCCAGACGTCCGCAGACCTCCAGGCTTCGTTTTCGGCCCACGAATGCGCCTTCACCCCGGAATCCCAGCTACCCCCCCCCACCCCCCCCCCCCCCCCCCCCCC